TGCCTGTAACTGTAATTGGTGAGCACTCCTCCCTGCTCTTATCTTGGTTCCTGAGCCTTTTGCTTTATTTTCTCCTTCCCCTTCCTGAGGGGGAAGGAGTGAGCAAGTAGATGTATGTGCTCAGTTGCTCTCTGGGCTCAAACCACAACCCTCCAGCACTTCCACCTTCTCACCTGTAACACTCTGCCTAATCTTCACCCTAAATTTCACCTTGCTTCCTCCCCCCTCTGTTTTTCACATCATACAGGGCCTTAGAATGAGACTGTAATGTACCCTCCTTCCTCCACGGTGAGTGAATAAGGCAGAAATGAGGGAAAAAGCAGCCAGGGAGACAACACAGAACGCTGCTGTCGGCAACCAGGCAGTCAATAGTTGAATACATACATAGGTGTAGCATGCTGTGAGTCTGGTACTGGGGTTAAACATAGTGTCTTCCTACCTGACAGTAAAGGTTGCATGTTGAATATTTCAGCATTATAGACTTCCATTTGCCCAGAGTCCTTGTTTAACACACCAACAAAATACCTGGGAAGAACAGGGGCAAGTGATTAGTGAGACTGAGTCCAGTGGAAGCAATGTTTTAAAATAAATGGTAGAGAGCCATGTGTATTCCCCATCCCCTGTCTCTAAAATAGGATAATTTCTCTCGGGTAAATTCCTTTTCATCCCACATTTCAGAATTGGAAGCCCAAATGGCTTGTGCTGCTCCTCACCATGTCTCGTGACCCACAAGGAACAGGATGTATGTCACCCTTGGCTGAAGCTGAGGGTATCAACTGCACTGGTTTCCTATCCAGCCAGAAGAGTTCATTCCACAAGAACCCTTCTGACTGGTACCTGACCTTGCTCTGCTCTGTAATACATCTTCCTAAAACTCGGGACACACTTTCTGAAGACAAAACCCACTTGCACAACAGGCTGTCTGTTGCAGTTGGAGCAATACTCTCTATGCAGCTGCTTTCAGAGGGGCTGCCTGAGTACAGTGGGAATCACAGCACCTCACTGATTGGAAAGGATCTCTGGGCGGATCCTGCTGTCTCAGGAAGCCCAGAGGTTTGGCAGACTCACTGACTTCCCACTCAGAATAAACTGGGCTGTTTGCTCAGAGACGGTTTCTGCTCTCTGTTACACCCACATTAGCAGTTGTGAGTGTACAGTTTTAGGCTGACAGCTGTCAAAAGCTATGGGAATGGATCCACTGGAGGAAATCCTCATGCATGCAGCTGAAACAGATGTGGGAGGAAAGGGACGGAAGGATGGGGTGGGAAAACCTGAAAGAAAAGCAACAAATTACTTAATTGATTCTTGCCTGCACCTCTGGAGGTCCTAAGGCATGCGCACACTTAATGCAAGACTAATACCTGAAGCCAAGCATTTACCAGCAGTTAGCTTGCCTTGTTAGTTTTCATGGCTCAGTATCTCCAAAGGTGCAGGCAAGAACCACTTAAGCCACTAAAACCATCTAATAATCAGAGTTCAGAAAGAGTGCTAAATCTGCCTAGAAAAGATACTGCATTGATACCTGTATCATACCTATTCATTAAACTAAATGTATCTCTCCAAATTCGAGAATAAAAAGCCCCTTGGTGCCTTTTTTCAGCTAAAGTATCTTAAACTGAAGACTGTTGTAACTGCAGGTCCCGCTCTCCTGGTTTCACTTCTCAGATCAAAGATTAGTGCTAGCATGTTTTGACGAACTCTTTGCAGAGGTAAAAGCAATTGTTTTTACAGAATTATAGAATAGAGTATTTCAGTGGGAAGGGACCTACAATTATCTAGTCTAAATATGCTGATCAATTCAGGGCTGACCAGAAGTTAAAGCATGTTGTTAAGGGCATTGTCTAAATGCCTCTTGAACACTGACAGGCTTGGGGCATCGACCACCTCTCTAGGAAGCCTGTTCCAGGGTCTGACCAGCCTCTTGGTAAAGAAATGCTTCCTAATGTCAAGTCTTAATCAGAACGTAGGACCACCAGTGCACTAACATCTGAAAGCACCTCCTCCTCCTAACAGTTTTACACAACTGCTCTTCACTCCCTCACCTGTACTTTTAACTAGTCAGACACGACAAGGTCAGTGCAGTCCAACTAGGGAAGGGGTGAGCAACGAGAGCAAACCGTGCTGGGCAACTGGAGTGGAGCCACAGAGCAGAGTAAGTGGAACCAAGATCCTGACACAGCCAGCACATGCATTTCAGTGTTGTGTAGGCTAGTAGAAGCAGTAACACGCATCAAAAGAGAAAAGAAACACCTTTGGTTAGAACAAGACAAGATTATTTCACATTGGCTCGCCACCCTTTGGTGATTCTTCTACTAGAAAACGAGAAAGATCTCACACGCAGAATACTTAAGGGCCAGTGAGATCTGCCTCAATGCCACAAAGGTCACACTCTTAAACCAGGACACGTAAAGGCTGGTGATTTCACCAATGCTTCCTTTTACAGTGTGTGGCACAGGCAGATTATCAGGTCACATAGCAGCATTGTGCTGTGGCCCTGAAGTCAAACCGTGATTAATGACCCAGGGGTTTCCTGGGAAGCGGATCATGATCTTGGTGATTTCCATCTTAGTTTCTTAATAACAAAGCTGTTATTCCTAGGTTTTGGCTACATCAGATCATCTCCTCACCCTCTCCTTCACAAGACCATTTCAGATGCACTCTTTGTACGTAATCACAACCTCCAATGGGACATAACATGCACAAACAATGCAGCTGCTAGGTCTGGAGTCTCCTGTCAAAATCCTCTGGATTCAAATCACAGACTCCATGGGAGCTTCTGAACCAGCTTCAGGAAAGGCTGCCAGGAACTCTGTGCCTGAGCAATTCCTCTGCTGTCACCTCCACGTTCCTGCTGTCATTTTGCCAGCAACCCGTACCTGCATAGTGAGTTACATTTCAAAACTCCGCTGTCAAAGTTATTCCCCACATATGAAAGTCTTTCAGTTTCTGAGACCTGAAAAACAAAGAAAAATTAATTGAATATCTTCTTATAATGTAATTTAACAGCAACAACAAAAAAAACTTTGGTAAAGAATTCACTGTGTTCACTGTGTATACATAACACAACAGATTTTGCGATCAAATGGACCCGAGTAGTTGTTAAGTAACAGCTTTTAACTCTCAAATGTTATTTACCTTCAGGTTATTAAAATAAATCACACACACAACTTCAATAAAACAACCTTCTCCTGAGAATACACAACCATGTATCCATCAACATTTTTCAAATAATCGTGTTGAGTTCTGATGGAAAGGTCACTAACTCTCACACGTCACTCTCAGTATCATTATATCAGACCTTTCCGCACTGCATTATTCAGGCTCCTTTCCGTTCCAACAGTCGACCCGCAATGCCAGGCCTGAGGGAGCACGGTCTGATCCTGACGTGCCCTGCAGAAACCACCGTGCCCCGACACCTGGCAGGGCTGCAGGACCCGCACCCGCCTCCCCGGGGTCCCAGGACAGGATGGGTCCCGCAGAGGGGTGGGCAGGGAGCCTGGCTTGCCAGCACAGAGCATTCTGCGGGGCATGGGGAGGCCTCCCCACATCGCGCCCACCTCCGCTGCGGTGGCAGCCCGCGTGAGAGACAGAACCGTTCCTGAAATCCCAGAGGTTTTGTGAAAGTTGGAGAACGGCTGTCCCTCTCATGCAGGCTGGGGCTAAACTCTACTTTTTCTCTATTTTTTTTTTTTTCATTTGCTGCAGATCAAAGCTCCATGAGCCTTGCTCACTATATATAATGATGTCATATATATATTATAATGATATCATATATGTATTTATAATGAGTATATAATCAGCATATATATATGACTATATATAATGCTGGCTATATATATCTAATGACTATATATAATGCTGGCATATATACATAATGACGTCATATAGATAGAATGACTGTATATAATGACAGCATGTTTATATATATGACTATATATACACTGACGGCATATATATATATGACCATATATACTGACTATATATAATAACGGCATGTATATATGTGACTATACATAATGGCTGTATATAACGCCGCAGCCAGAGCAGGGCAGCAGGCCGGAGCTGCGAGGTTTCCCGCTCCTGCTGGCGGGAGCTGCCGCGACCGCACCCACGAGGGCAAAAAATGGGTGAAAACCCGTCACAACCGGCCGGGGCGGGTGAATACATGCGGAAAAGGACGAGCTGTCCGTAGGTCTGTCTACGGGGCTGCCGAATCTCACAGCGCCGTGTCCGCCGTTCTGCCTCGCACGCCCCCGGGGCTGCTCCCCCCCCTCCCCGGGCGGGCCCTTACCACGATCTTCCGGTGCTTCCTCCGGGGATGGCCCGCGTCCCTGTGCCGGTAGACGGTGAACCGCACCGAGTCGGCCCGCCGCAGCCTGCCGTTGGAGAACCGCACTGCGAGGCGGCAAAGGGAGAAGCCGTGAGCCCGGGCGGCGGCCCCGCTCCCGCCGGCCCCGCTCCCGCCGGCCCCGCTCCCGCTGCCGCTGCCGCTCCCGTCCCCGACTCACCCAGCACCGCCGGCTGCTCCTCCCCGGGGGTGCCCCGGTAGCGCCATGTGGCTGCGGCGGCCATGGCGGCGGGCAGCGACGGGCGGGGCGGGGCTTCACGGGGCGGGGCGGGGCCTGCAATGGCGAAGCATACCAGGGCGGGGCGGGGTCTGCTGGGAGGGGCGGGGCTTCACGGGGGGGGCATGCCGGGGCGGGGTGGGGCTTCCCGGGGCGGGACGGGGTTTCCCGGGCGGGGCATACCGGGGCGGAGCCTCCCGGGGCTGGGCGGGGCCTCTAGGGGCGGGGCCTCCGGGGGCGGGGCGAGAAGAGGCTCGCTGCCGTCACCGCGCGCCCCCGGGGAAAGCGGGCTCCGGCCCAATCACGGCTGTGCTTATTGCCGCCCGCTGGGGGGACGGCGGTGCCGCCGCTTAGGAGTAACGAGGGCGCCGGTTGGCTGGCGGCCGGATGGGCGGGGTCCCCTGCGCGGTGCCGTCACTTCCGCCCGCCGGCGCGGCCGCCGCAGCGCAGGGCCCGGGGAGGGGCGGAGCCGCAGGCCACAGGCGCGCGCAGACCGGCCCTTCCCGCCCGTCCCGTCCCGTCCCGGCCCGTCCCGCCGGTCCCGGCGCGCAGAAGCAGCGGGGGGTGGCGGGGGCTGCAGGTGAGCGGGGCGGGGGCGGTGCTGGGGGGCGGTGCTGGGGGGCGGGGCTGAGGTGGGCGGGCCGGGCCGGGCCGGGCCGGGAGCGGGGCGCAGCGCAGCGCAGCGCGACGGGCGGCCGCCCCCTCCCGCCCCTTCCCGGCCTCCACCGAGCCGCCCCGGGTGGCCCCGCGGGGCGGAGCGGCCGCGGCCGCGACGGGGAGCGCGGCTCCGCTGTGCTGGGGAGAGCTCCGGGCTGCGGGAGGGGGGCTGCGGGCGGGTCAGACACAGACAGACACACGGACGCGCACAGAATGTGCCGCGGGCCGTGAGGCGCTGCGTTGGACGAGGAACACCGGGGGGGCTTCTCGTCGTGTGTACGGCGGTGTGAGCGGAAGAGCCGCAGTCACACGGCTGCGGGTGTTTTAACTGCTGACGGTGCGAGGAGGAGGCGCAGGTGCTACCTCGAAGCTTGAGAGGGGCGTAAAGCTGGGATGTCCAGGTGACGTATAAAAACGCAGAAAGGTGCGACTCTGTTTTTCAGTACCGTGCCTTTCAGTGCATTCAGGAATAACAGCTTGTCCTATCTGTTAGGTTAATTCAATGCCCTGGAATTCTCAAAACCATATATCTTCACATGCCACATTATAAATTAAGTTTTACTTTCTTGTACTTGGTGTAATTATTGAATCGTGTGCGGAAGGCAGCATACAGGTGGAGGGATGTGAGATGTACTGCTGCCGTGCGTAAACTGTGTGTGCACCAGTTGCTCCTCTGGAATGTCTGTGTTCTCTCTGTGGCATTGACCTCACAGCTGCCAGTTTGTCTCATGGTAGTGCAAACAAAGGCAAACTCTGCAGTGGTCAAGCTAAGTGTGTTGCACTCTGCTGTAAACCCATATGTTATAAAGAAAGGCAAACCCAGAGTGGTGTCTGTGTGAAAACCGAGAGGGAAGTTACCATCTTTGCACTGACAAAAGCTGCTTAATTTTTTCCTCATCCTTTCAAAAATTACTCAGAAGGAATTTAGTTAATTTAGCATAATGCATTCAAGTCACGTAAATTTTTACGCTGTAGTGTGACTTTTAAACAGTGGGTAAGACAATGTGTTCTTTTGAATTCTTCATTAGTACATGCTCGTATTGGGTTTTGTGATGAGGTTTCAGTGGGGGGCTGCAGGGGTGGCTTCTGTGAGGAGATACCAGAAGCTGCCCCATATCAGATGGAGTCCGTTCCACCCGTCTCCAGGATGGACCCACTGCTGGCCCCAGCTGCGCCAGTCAGCAAGGGTGGTGGTGCCTCTCTGATAACATATTTAAGAAAGGCTGGAAAACACTGCTCAACAGCAGCTGGGAGAGAGGCGTGACAAAATGTGGGAGAAGTAACACTGCAGACCACCAAGGGTCAGTGAAGAAGGAAAGTGAGGAGGTGCTCCAGGCACTGGAGCACAGATTGCCCTGCAGCCCATGGCAGAGACCATGGTGACGCAGGTTGTCTGCCTGAAACCCATGGAGGTCCACGGCAGAGCGGGTGGACAGGCCCTGGAGGAAGCTGTAGTCTGTGGGAAACCCACACAGGAGGAGGTCTTCTGGCAGGATCTGTGGCCCACGAGGGGCCCACGCTGGAGCAATCTGTTCCTGAAGGACTGCACCCTGTGGAAGGGACCCATGCTGGAGAGGTTCATGAAGGACTGTCTTCTGTGGGAGGGACCCTGTGCTGGAGCAGGGGAAGAGCGTGAGGATGAAGGAACAGCAGACATAAAGTGTTATGAACTGACCACAACCCCCATGGCCTATCCTGCTATACAACTCAGGAGATGGAGGTAGAAGAGTTGGGAGTGAAGCTGAGCCTAGTGTGCTGTGTTTCTGTGGTGCGGTTTTTGGTAGCAGGGGAGGGGGCTACAGTGGTGGCCCCTGTAAGAAGCTTCTTGGAGCTCCCCCAGCTTGAAGTCAGACCTACTTCTGGCCAGGGTCGAGTCAATCAGCGATGGTGGCTGTGCCTCTGCAAAAACATTTGTAAGAAGGGGAACCTGAGAGGAGGTTGGGACTTGTGAGGAGGAGTTGAGAGAAGGACGAACACTGAGGTCAGTGGAAGGAAGGAGAAGGAAGTGGGGGAGGTGTGCCGGAGCAGAGACCCCTGCATCCCGTGGGGAGACAGCAGGGCTGCCCCCCTGCCACCCATGGAGGTCACTGATGGAGCAGAGCCCGACCTGAAGCCTGTGTTGGAGCCTGCTCCAGGACAGGCGGCTGCACTTAAAGGAGGCCGGGACTCTGAGGGGAGAAGCAGCCCCCCTGTTGCGGTTGGGCACTGGGAGGGCTGCAACACGCGGCGGGGACCCATGCTGGGGCAGCTTGGGAACGGCCGCGGCCCGTGGGGAGGACTCACTGCGGAGAAGTTTCATGGAGGCCTGCCTGCAGTGAGAGGGGAGCCCTGTGGAGCAGGGGAGGGATGTGCGGGGTTCCCCCCAGCTCCCAAGAAGGAAGAAGCGGTGAGCTAGCTGTGACCCCCATCCCCTGCCCTTGAGCTGCTGGAGGAGGAGAGGGAGAGATGGGTAGCAGAGCTGAGCCCGGGGAGAAGGTGGGGGAAAATGTTTTGGATGTGGTGGCAATTCTCACTGTCCCACCTTGTCTGTTAACCGTTGTCTTTGTTAGGGTTTGAATTGAAGTGATGTCTGTTGCCCAAATGAGTGAGCACCCCTCCCTCTCTCTAGCTGGACTCCTGAGCCATTCCTGATAGGGTGGAAGGGGTGAGTGAGCAGCTGTGTGGTGCTCAGTTGCCCTCTGGGCTCAAACCATGACACCTAGGAAGAAGGAGTGGGGAAGGTGTTTTTAGTTGTGTTTTTATTTTTTTTTCTATACTACTCTGTTATTTATTGGCAAGAAATTAAATTAATCCTTCCTCATGTCAGTTGTTTTGGATGGCAATTGGTGTATGATCTTCCTGTCCTTATACCAACCCACAAGCTTTTCATCTTACTTTCTACCCCATCTTGCTGAGGAGGGGGAGCGAGAGAACAGCTGGGTGGGTGTCTGATCAACCCACTACAATACCAAAATAGATGGGGACTGTGCAGTGCATCCATGTAGATTTTTACCTTCTGAGAGTAAAATAATAATGTTAGAAAATGAGTTTTTGGGAAGATCGGAAGCAGATAATTCGACAGTTCTCACTTGAAACACAGTAGTCATCTGTTGAAGCAATTATGTGGATGTAGTTGCTTAGTCTGAAGATGTGCAATACTAATGAATCCAGTGTGGTGGTGACAAACTATTATTTGTTACTTTAAGACATTTCCTGGCAAAAGTAGATTTATTCATTATGCACACAACTCTACTTTCATTGGGGTTAAAAACTTAGGCAAAGGTGACTGGACAGGATAGTTTAAAATTCTTGAATAGTGAAGTTGAAGAGCTAGATTTAGAAATGACTGCCACTGAGCAAGAAGGCATTGTGCTGGTGGTGCTGAGCTGTCTGTGACTGCCCTTTCCTGTGGGATCCTTGCCTGCAGACCTTTGGTTTTGAGTGCTGTTTGTGGTTTGATTCATGAACTGGGAGTGATGGTAGGCAGGAGAAGCTGGCAGCTGAATTTCCTTTGCAGTGCTGGACATTCTTGTGAGAGGATGATGGCAGTGACAGAGACTGCCATGGAACCATGAACCTCAAGGGAGATTTTCTGAACTGATAATGTAACTGTGAGTTCCGATCAATCCTCATTGATGGCAGTTTGTCTTCCCATGCCCTTAAATGGTTTTACTGCCCGTTCTGTGTAGCAGCGTTCTCTGCTTTTCCCTTTACAAATAAATCAAATAGTGATATTGCCCTAACAGCTTTCTTCAGATGTTTTACTGTGCAATGCCTAAAACCCCATTGTGCTCTTGGGAGAGCTGTTTTCTCATATCTAGATACAGTTTTTTTAGCTTCCTAAGATCAAGAATATAATCCATTATCTTCTTTTCCTGTTTTTTATTTATACCTAGAAAACACTGTGCTTTTGTAAGTTGACCAGAAAAGCACACGTCAGTTCTTTTGAGAGACTGATGCATGTGAAAGCTATTGTACTGACCTTGAAGCCCAAATGATGAAGAGGTTAGCCAGGAATTATAAGGAAACAGTGTTTGGTCTGTTTAGAAGATACAGCAGTAGAAGTGTGTTAAACAGTGGAATTACAGCAACGAAACAAACCCCGTGGTGACAAGCTGAGATGGCACATCAAAATGCAGGAATGGCACATTTCAGTCTCCTCCTGTGTGTCTTGCTCTGAAATATTGCACTGTGATGCAGGATCTGGAGACTGAAGGATGTATCATAGTGCTGGGAGGAGGTGAGTGGAAACATCAGGAAACTGGGGGATGGCTGTGTCCCAGGTAGTGTCCATTTCTTCAGATAACTAAGAGTAGCTAAGAAAAATCTAGCCTTTTTTTAGGAAGCTTTTTGTTGCTTCTTTCAAAGATGTTCTTTGCAGCTGTCAGGCTGTGCTGTTACTGTTTGTTAATGAGTTGGTGTTGCCAGGGATTGGACTATATTTGCAGCATCTTTCAGATGATGAGAAAATACTAAACCATATGCTAATATCTTACTCCTCTCTGGAGTGCTGATGCAACCAGCAGCAGCATTTGCAGTGCAGTTTATTATTTCTTATTCTTAGACAAGTTGTAACTCATCCTCCCTGACAATAGGGAGATAAACTCCTTGAGTTGAACTATATATAAAACCTGGCTAAGGAAACACCTCAAATGAGATACTGCAAGCCCAGCTGTCAGTCATGATAGTCACTAGTTGCAGGCGCTTGTCAGACACACACAAAAAATGCCTTTCATGGCTGATACGGCATTGTTGTGTACACGAAAGCAATGTAGAGCTGGAGTCTACTTTATTTGTATGGGGTGAATCCAGAAATCACTTTAACTACTGTTAACTAAAATTCCACCATATGTTCAGTTTGAAAAAACTCTCGGAGCAGAGAATGCACACTCTCCACGTTTCAAAGTGACAAATCTTGCTGAAGACATCAAAGAAAGTGAAGACTTCCATTTCTTTCTGCCTCTACCATCTCACAGTCCTGCTGACTTGTTAAAAAAACAACAGCTGATAGTAGAAAGTATTTTCTGAAATAACACTTGTATCACTGTCTCCTATCTAGATTTATGTTTGTATTTCAGGCTGCAGGGGAGCTTTTATGAGATGTATTATTTCAAGCACAATGGTTAAGCACAGTACAAGTGTATTGTAATGTTTTGTAAAATGTAATTTAAGCTAAGAGGCAAACATTTATTAATATTATATGGATGCACTTTCAAGCTTTAGTTGTATGCCAGGGATTCCTACAGGCTTGGTACCTAGAATATAAAATGCATTTAAACACAGATTATTGGGAATGGGGTTTGAGGTGCAAGTAGTAAATCGTCCTTCATTTATCTGATAAGGAAAAAAAAAGTATTTAGTCTAAAGTTTTCATTAGTGTGTTTGTATGTTGGATTTCTTCTGGTACCATTCTACTGAATGGTATAGCTGAGGCAGCTGTTGTTAGTAACAAAATCAATTACTTTGCAAACGTTTTAAAAACTTCTTTAGGGGGATCATGAGGTTGTAATTGATTTTTTTGTTTGTTTGTTTGACTTCTTGACAGGGGCTCAGGATTGCAGTGTAATCTAAACCATGTCCTTTAGTATTGGATGTAGTAATAAAATTTTAAATAAGTCATCATTCAGAGTTGTTGTTTTTCACACTCTTTTATAGTGAGTTACTTTAACTTTTTTTTAGGGGTGAGAGAAAAGTAGTTTCAGTGCAAGTATACTTAAATACTTGCCTTGTCCCATCTTGCTGCAGCTTAAGTATTAGGGCAGAGGGATTTGATGGAAAAAGGGGCTGTAAGTCTATTTAGTATTACCAGTGCTAGTCATTCAAGAAATAGAAAGGAAACATATGAGAAATTATTACCATTACAAGCAGTAGAAATATGGGCTAATAAGACCTGAATTCCTATGGAGAATTCTGTGGTGTCCCTTCTGCTACGTGGTTGTGTTACCGGCTGTCCGTGGTGTTCCCTACTTGCCTGGCTGGGCAGATGGCTGCACGAGTGTCTCATTTGTGCTGTGTGAGCAAACTGTCCAGATGGCTGGGTTTGGGTGTTTGTGTTAAAAGAATAAGGGAATTAATTATGACTCCATGAGAAGTAGTACTTATAAATTTGTCGTCTTCTGTAACCAGACACCAACTTCAACTAAAAAAAATGGAAATTCAGCATGTAATCTCTTCTTTGTTGAATTTGGTTGGAGTTGAGAGAGGGACTCTGAGGTTAATAGCTAATGGGAAGCTAGTAAACAGGCTGTGTAGTTGTAAATTTTAGATCTCTCTTCCTGGAATTTCAAAACACTTGCACATCATCTTCCCAATGAGGTATTTTTAATCCAGATGCTTTCTTAATGCAGAAAGCTTATTTTAAGAAATTTAAGCCTTATCTTCATCCACATATATGAAGAATATTTTACTGTGTCATGATAAATGTTTGGTTAGGTGATCAGGCTCCTCTGCACAGCTCCCAGGGAGCTTGGAGGGGCAATGGCAGGAGGGGAAGCCCAAACAGTGCCCTGTGGGGCTGCTCCCAAACCCATCGCTGGAGCCAGCCCACTGCAGGGGCACAAGCAGGAACCCAAATCAAGGACCCTAAGAAAAGAGCACCCTGTCCAGGCCTGTGCCAGGACAGTCCAGCAGAGCCTCTGCCCAGTGTCCTGATGTACTAAGGAGGTTGCTGCCTGCTGCTAGGGCACATGGGCTGCAGGGAAAACCAGTTTGGGATTACACAGGGCTTGCTATGGGATGTTTAGGGGAGGACACAAAAGTGGGACAAAGGAGGAGTTTAAGGGAATTGGGGAGGAACAAGTATGAAAATATAGAGGGGTAAGGGGTTGAAAAGGGCTAGTCAAGTGGAGGCAGTTGGCTGGTTGGTGTGCTTGCCTGGCCGTGCTCTGTACCTGATGAGCACCATCTGTCCTGCTCTTTATTAAATTCTTTCATGGCTCTGCCCTGGGTGAGGGCTCTCTGGTCTGTGAGTGTAGCCATATGGTGAAGGACCCCTGTGTCCATGAGGCACTGATGGGACCACATGCAGGCATGCAAGTATCTGATGGCCAGTGAAGTGTCCTGGGAGCAAGGGGGTCTGTGGGTCCCTGAGGGCAGCTCTGGGTGTGAGAACTCCTCTGTCTATAGGGGCAAGAACATGGTGGGGTCAGCTGTGGGACCAGGGCGTCCCGGTTGGCTCTGTGTACCTGTGACAGTCTGTACTGGCAACTGGAGCCAAGCTGCAGCCGTGGGAACTCATGCACCTGCAGAATAGGGATGGGGAGACTGGGACCCAGGGGATAGCTACTGGAGGGGTCCACCTCCTGTGCCTGTGTGTATGTTCTCACAGGTGGGCTTCCATCCTGCCCAGCCAGAGAGGGGAGCAGGATGAGGCCTCTGGTGCTGCCCATGTTCTTGTGAGTGCTGCATGCCTCTCGTGGCGTACACGTGTGTGCTGGTCATTTATGCCGGCTGGGAACGCATCTTCTGCTGGGACCTAGGGGTGTTTAGCAGCAGCAGCCTTGCCTCTCTTGGTTTGTTGGATCTGCTGTGGTATGTTTTCTTCTAGCAGTGAAGTGGCAAGTTAAGTATTTAAATATCTACTGAGCACACTTTTTATTCAAAGGTTAGCGATCTTTTTAAATGTATAATCAAAATGCTAGGGAAAAAATGCTTCCTTATTAGTTTTTACCAAGTCAATCTTACATTAAAAAAAATCCATAGTTCTCTCCTAAAACTATTCTGAAAATACCAAAGCAAGCTGTAAAACTGAAAGCTGGAGAAGTAAGTAGATATAAAACTACACCTCCAGTGACTTGTGGTTCAGGGCCTTCCTCAGGTAGAGGTGACATCTGAGTATTTAATGGATCTCAATTGATTTTTCTTCAGTAATTATGCAGTGGCTGTTAAGTTCACATGTACTTGCCCGTGGCAAGGAGTTCTGTAGCTTTACTGTATTATATGTAGGAGTGTTTGGTTTTGACCCTGATGGTTTCGTTTCATAGACCTTAGTTCAGGGACAGGCAGAACAATTTTTTTTCCAGTCAGAATTTCGTAGATGTTTTTTCACTGCTTGCCCTTAAAATTTTCCTGGCTCTAACTATTTGTATTTATAGTAAAATTACTTGCAGCTAAACAATTTGGTATAGTTTCTTTTTACTTGTGGTCATTGGTTTGATTATAAAACTAAGCTGTTTCCTTTCCCACTGCTCTCCAAAAGGCCGCTGGACACAATGTCTAATGTTTGTACCACTGATGCTTCCTCTGAGTCCCACAGACTGGATCCAATTCAGCAGAAGATTTCATGTAACATTCTCTGGGTCCCCAGGATGTGAACAGGAGCTGTCTGTGAGCCTCACAAAGCCTGCAGAGACTGGCTTCTGAAACCACTCACTGCTCAGCTGGAGGCATCTCTCTCCTTCATCTGAATAGGCATTTGCACACCGTGTGAGGGGATGCCCCCTCATGTGCTGGAGATGTTGGGTCATTTGATAGGGGAATGATGGCAGTGTGCAGCCCACAGGTGGTTCAAGAAGGTCTTTATGGCCAGCTGTTGCTGAAAGGTAAGGTATCACTGATGCAGGATGGGAAGAAAGACCAAATGTGCATATCCAGAAATATGCCACTCCTACATATTTTGATACTGCCTTAAATGTACTGCATGTATCTAGTAACCTGAAGTAGCTGATATCTCACCGAATGTGGTATGTGGTTAGTATGCAATATATATGACTCAAATGTGGTTTTACAATTTTCAGTTGATCTTGGACAAGATCTCAACTTCACTGTGGGGTCTGTGTTTGATTCTGGTTTGAGGACTTCAGTCTTCAAGGTGTACTAAAAGTTAAATACCGTGCCAAATTAATGTTACTTGAAGCAAAACTGGGGTTTATCTTGTTTCAGGTGCATGAAGGATGCATTCACTTTTGGTGACTGTAAGCAAGGACTCTCTGAATTCTGAAATCCCAAGTCACTGGTCAAAACAATGACGCTTGTCTGTTTTCTCTGGTTCAAATGCGTATTGCTGCCTAGACAGAAATACCTCGGACAATTCCTGTAACATATCTTCCTTTCTGCAGTCCAGCTCAATCTTTTTACTGTTGTGAAATCCTATCCTCATGTTGTTTGGAGTTTTCCCCATCCAGTCTTCTCTGGACATTGGTTCACATCTGTGATTACATAGCCTTCTGAAGCACACCACTGCCTGGGATTGTCTTGATAAGGGCAATGTATGAGCTCTCAAGTATTTTGTATCTTCTGCAGTGCGTTTCGTAAAGACCTAAAGCAGCGCACAGACAGGGGAACTGCTTGGGTGCTTGTGAACAGCTTGCTTCTGACGACCCTTGAAGCTGGAGCAGCCTCTGCTGGGCCCTGTGCTTTCTGCAGTGAAGGTACAAGTGGAGCGATTTCGTTCTTGGTTGCAGATGGGGCACAGCAAAGCGCTCCCATCTTAGCCGCCTTTCTAGGTGGCGGTGCTAATGGTGCAGTGCTGCTGCGTTTTGGAAAGTCACTAGTTAATGCCACAGTGTCCTCCAGCTCTGGTCCTTAGTGAAAGATCCCTTGCCTCTCCTGGTGTGGTAGGTGCCTGGTGTTTTCCAGGGTGTTTGTTGGTGGGCTGTAGTGTTGTACACTGTGTGGATCAGGCCTGCATGTAGCCACACAACTGTGAAATGGTTCCTTGGAGCTGTTGCTCTTGACTGGGGAGTGAAGTGAAAAGAAAGTCAACCAGCATCCAGGTCCCTCAGTGGCACACTGATGTTATAGTGGTGGTACTCTAAACTGGGCAAGTTTCTTGGTTGCTCTGGCAACAGTTGCCCCGCTGCTGCCTTTCTCTAAATTCCCCCTAAATCCTGTGTTTTAGTGCCACGAAGCCAAGGACAGAGCATTATCTCTGGCATAACACCCGGCCCATCTCAGAGGTGGGCATAAGGTGATAAATGAAGAATTGTTTGGCAGTGCCTTCTCAACTTTTCAGATACCTGGTGGGAGGGCAGCCCTTCCTTGCAGAGGAGGTCATCCCTACATGGTGCTTGCTGGAACAAAGGAGGGCATGAATTTAACCAGGTGTGCCCAAGCAGCAAGGCAGTCAGTGATGCAGCAGTGCTGATCACAAAGCAGCCCTGGCCTCTGCCACATTCCAGGCACCTGCAGATGGGACTTGTGGCTCTTGGCACAGTCTGCCCATCTTCCTTTTGCCCAGCTGCCTGAGGTCAGTGAGTTTCAGGGTCTGCTTTTTTGTTCCTCCCTCCTCCTGCCACCACCAGTAAGCATTCCCTCACTTTCCCACTTGTCTCGGAGAAAATGCGTAGAAGTAAAAACGCTGCAATTCTGAAGTTAGTCTTGTTTAACATTTTCTTGTTTGAAAAAGTCATCTTATTTTTACTGTCAAATACGTATTGGTAGTGAAAGATAAATAAAATCACCTATTGTCTGTATTCCTGTTTCTTATTTTAAAAAAGCAGCAAACTCAAATAATTCTGTTCCATTACATAATTTATAGAGGTAAGGGACATTGACATGGTACTCAATTCCATGACATTACGGTGTTATTTTCAGGCATCATGGCCTTAGTGCTGCCAAATTAGGGGATTTTTGATGCCACCGGTAAGCCTGGACCCTCACCACTGCTGGAAGGCATAAAGTGTAGTTTCTTTCTTTCTTCGTTTTAAAATACCCGAGAACCAATTACAGTTGGAGGCAACAGATTTTTGCCAGCATAAGTTTTGGATTTTCAGTGTTTAGGTAAAACTGTGGTTCTCTGTGAGTCTGTATCCTCTGGAGAGGGGCAGCGTTCTTTGTCCAGTGGCCTAGGTGGTGAAGCCTTTCTCCAGCAAAGGCCTGCCAAATGTGTGACGTGTGCTGAGGAGGAGGGTGGATACCAGCTGCCTCCTGACTGGGGAACCACAGCTGCTCTTGCATTAGCTCCAGCCTGGCAGCTGGGGCAGGAAGGGGCTGTTTTCTCCGATTTGCTTGTGACCTAATGGTTTTAGTCTTTGTGCTTTTATGTTAGTTTGCCAACTCTTCTGGTGTGAATTCAGATCTCTTTGCCTATTATATTACTGATTCCCGTAATTTTATGTAGGCCAACGTTAGTCTGAGTGCAGCAAAAGCTGGGAATTCGAGCAGATCCCTTTATTTGTCCAGGTTGCCCCTATGGGATTCCATAAGTTTGGGAATCAGAATATGGTAGTTGTTCATCACACAGAAGTGTCCATAGTAGCCTCAGGACAGGCTAAAAGCGGATGAGTGTCTGCATCTGAGGCCTTCTGATGGGATAGCTGTCTGTAGCCTCCTGTCCCTGACAATGCAAAACTTTGTTATTTAATGACGAGGAGTGCTGCAGAGCGCAATTACTCTGACCATCTCTTCCATAGCTGTTGGAGACACTGTCAACTTTTGTGTGAGGAGACTAGTAAGTCCGACGTGGTTTATAGCTGTGGGCCTAGTAGAAAAGGGGTGCCTAGCTTTTCACTCTTTCTGGATGGAGAACCAGCATGTGTTGAGCTTGTACTTGTTCCGCCCTGCCAGTGGATGGTGTGACAGGAAGCCTCACTCAGCCCCAGGCCCAGCTTGGTCTGACAGAATGTCATGGTTTGTGCTCAGAGGGCAACTGAGCACCACACAGCCTCTCACTCACCCCTTCTACCCCAGTGCTAAGAAGGGGAAAATAACCAAATGCATGGGATTCGAGATAGGACAGGGAAGGATAATTCACCCATTATGGTCACAGGCAAAAAGTAGACTTGTTAGGAGAAGAAAAAAAATGAACATAAATTTATTACAGACAGTAACACCACCACCACTTAACAGACAGAGTAGGACAGTGAGAAGCATTGCCACATCTTGAAAACACCTTCCCCCCTTCCTCCTACCCGGGTTCGGCTTTGCTCCTGATACCTCTACATCCTCCCCCAGTGGCACAGGGGCAGGGAATGGGGGGTATAGTCAGTGCTGCCGCTTCTTCCATCTTCAGTGTGGGGAAGGAACTTCTGGAACTTTGCCAGCCTCACAGGAGACAGTCCTCTACAACTTTTCTCCGACATGAGTCCCTCCCATGGGCTGCAGCCCTTCCTGAGCTGCTCCAGCGTGGGACACCCCCACATGCTGCAATCCACCCAGCACTGAACTACAACAGTGGCGGCTGCTTCTTCCCACAAGATCCTGGCCTCCTTCGGGCAGAGCTCCGTGATCAACCAGGCGGAAACCACAGGCCATAAATCAATGTCTGCTCCACCGTAGATCTTCATGGGTGGCAGGGGGGACCGCACTGCCGTCTCCCCACAGGATACAGGGGGGGTCTCTGCTCCGGCACACCTCCCCCCTCCTTTCTTCCTCCGTTCCTCCACTGACCTTGATGTTCACGCAGCTGCAGCAACTCCTCCTCCCAAGTCCCCCTGCACGTCACCACGTCCCTTCTTAAATACGTTATCGCAGAGGCGCAGCAGATTGGCTCAGTTTTGGTGCAGAGGTGGGACTGACTTGGAGCTGGGGGAGCTTTGAGAAGCTTCTCACAGGGGGCCACCCCTATAGCCCCCTCCCCTGCTACCGAAAACCCCACCACTCACTCAAACCCAGGACACTGGGTGCAGTGTGGGAGCGAGAGGGATTATTGTGCAGGGAGCAAGGGCGCCCAGAGCATGTATTAACTTAATTTCCTAATGAGAAACCTAATCTAATGCTGCTTGCAGAATAACTCCTACAAGTTCAAAAGAAGCGTGTTCTTTATACCAGCGGATCACAAACCCTTCTGCTTTCCCTTGACATGTTAATGGTGATAATCCAAGTCTGGGGAACGTTGCAGATGTACTGTCCTAGCTTGAGCTGAGTTGCTGGGTATCTGAGGTTTTGCTTTTTCTGATGATCCTTCCAAGTAAATAGTTAATCTATGTCCATCAAGGTGAATGAAATAGCAAAGTAATTAACAATCTACATCAACAGCTGTGCCTGTTTTCCTCTGAATGAATGAATGAGTGTACTTGGCACTGTCTCTGCCCTGAGCATACTTTCTGAGCAACATCTGTGAACAGTTTTAAATGCAAACAGTATGTCTGAGCAAACTTTACTGGCCAAACCTGGCTATGGGATGCTTTGTGGCCGTGCACACGTGCAGATGCAGCATATGGTTTGTTCACCACATGTATGCATTTGAGGACAGAATTTCTAAATCAGCAGACTCACATTCAATCCCTCTTCAAAAGTAGAATTCTCTGTGTGACCCTTTATTTTAGCTGCTTTACAGTCTTCTTGTGTCACATGATACTGTGGTATTGCTGTTGAAAAATAAATGTGAACACAAAAATGTGTGTGTGTATGCCATATACACGCAATTTTTCTGTTCCCCAAATCTTATACTTTGTTGATTTGTCATGAGAAAAAGTAGAGATACCAGCAGAAGTCACCTATTTAGCCTTAAGGTGAGTCTACTAAGATTTGTCTTGTGTTCTGTTAGTTGAAATTTAAGGAAAAAACACCCCTGAGTGTGTCTAGTAGTTTGCTGAGTACTGTATCATTTTGTCAAAATCTTTCCGTAACTCCCATGTGGACCAAGGGTCATAAAGAATAGCAAATACAGAAGTACAGAAATGGCTCTTAATGTTGTCAAACTTTCCTATCATTACCGTTTTATTTATTTTGTGGGAAAAAGAGGACTTTCAGTCCTAACTGATAAACTATAGTGAATAAGAAAATTGTATTGCACTTCTGATAGCTGAAGGTGGTAGTTTGAGATAAGAGCTGACCACTTGTTCCAGTGCAAAAGTGTCTCCCTTCTTCTCCATTAAGTCTCTTTTCTGTGTTTTTGTGTTGAAAGCGAGTACTTAAATGACAGTTCATCACAGTAGCTGAGAAACTGCAGAAAGTCAATTGCAGAAGGTGCAGCTGGAATAAATGAGAATTAAAATTCAGACTTTTCAGTGGGAGGTTATCTCATGAGTAATTTATCAAAGGTTGCAGTAGATTTTTCACAATCAGATTTAAGAACCAGGATTAAATGCTTATTATGAAAGAGAGCATTTTAGTTTGGAGAGGAGCTAATGGAGGTGAAATGACCTGCATTAATCAGTTCTCAGCAGAGCTGCCTGTGTCATGTCTGATGCTGAGGTGGCTGTTATACTAGGTCAGCTCCATGGCAGAACCCATGTTTTCTTCATTCTCCTTTGCAAGATTGCTGTCTTTGTACCAATGTGGCAGTGGTAAATTGAGAGCAGTTATTGTACGTCTGTCTTTCAGCTGTAATTTTTAATTTTCAGGCCTGGTTTTGCTGTGGTCTGAATAGGACTTCTGCCATTTTTAATATCAGTTTCTTCTGGTTTGTTTCATAGGATCATGGATTTTCCAGGACACTTTGAGCAGATCTTTCAGCAGCTCAACTACCAGAGGCTTCATGGTCAGCTTTGTGACTGTGTCATTGTGGTGGGAAACAGGCATTTCAAAGCGCATCGCTCTGTTTTGGCAGCATGCAGCACACATTTCCGAGCTCTGTTTACCGTAGCAGAAGGAGATCAGACTATGAATATGATTCAGCTGGACAGCGAAGTGGTGACAGCAGAAGCTTTTGCTGCTCTGATAGACATGATGTATACTTCCACACTAATGCTTGGGGAGAGCAATGTTATGGATGTCTTGCTGGCTGCTTCTCACTTACATTTGAACTCTGTCGTTAAAGCATGCAAACACTACCTTACTACCAGGACGCTGCCGATGTCTCCACCAAGTGATAGAGTTCAAGAGCAAAATGCGCGCATGCAGAGGTCTTTCATGCTCCAGCAGCTTGGGCTGAGCATTGTGAGCTCTGCCTTAAGCTCCTCTCAGAGCACGGAGGAGCAACCGAATACTATGAGCTCCTCAATGAGAAGTAACATCGAGCAGCGCTCTACTTTTCCAATCCGTCGTCTCCACAAACGTAAACAGTCTTCTGAAGATCGGGCCAGGCCGCGCATCAGGCCTGCCATGGACGAGTCTGTTTCCGAAGTGACCGCAGAGAGTGGGCAGTCAGTGGTTCACTCGCGGGAGGATTTCTTCTCGCCAGATTCACTGAAGATTGTGGACAACTCTAAGGCCGACGTTGTTGCTGATAACCAGGAGGATAATACTATTCTGTTTGATCAGTCCTTCAGTGCTCAGGAAGATGCTCAAGTGCCCAGCCAGTCTGACAACAGCGGAGGAAACATTTCACAGATGTCCATGGCATCCCAGGCAACGCAGGTGGAAACCAGCTTTGACCAGGAGGCTGCTTCTGAGAAGAACAACTTCCCATGTGAGAATCCAGAGGTCAGTCTGAACGAAAAAGAGCACATGAGGGTGGTGGTGAAGTCTGAGCCCCTGAGTTCCCCTGAGCCTCAGGATGAGGTGAGCGATGTCACGTCCCAGGCGGAGGGCAGTGAGTCTGTTGAAGTGGAAGGAGGAGTGGTGAGCGCAGAGAAGATAGAACTGAGTCCCGAGAGCAGTGATCGTAGCTTTTCTGACCCACAGTCCAGTACTGATAGGGTGGGAGACATCCATATTATGGAGGTGTCAAATAACCTGGAACACAAGCCTACTTTCAGTATCACAAATTTTCTAAATAAAAGCAGAGGTGGTGGCTTCGGTGCTAGTCAAAACAGTGATGACAACATTCCAAATACCACCAGTGACTGCCGAATGGACAGTGATGCCTCTTACCTGATGAGCCCAGAGTCGGGGCCTGCTGGTGGCCATTCGTCCGCCACCGTTTCTCACGTCGAGAATGCGTTTAGTGAGCCCACAGACTCTCATTTTGTTAGACCGATGCAAGATGTGATGGGTCTCCCCTGTGCACAGTCGTCTGGGTACCGGGCAGCGGAGCAGTTCGGCATGGATTTTCCACGGTCAGGCTTCGGCTTGCACTCCCTGTCAAGGGCAATGATGGGCTCAGGAAGAGGTGGAGCTAGCAGCTTTCCTGGCTACCGCCGCATAGCCCCCAAAATGCCCGTGGTCACCTCGGTCAGGAGCTCCCAGCTGCAAGATAACTCGTCCAGTTCCCAGCTGATCATGAACGGGACCACTGCTTTCGAAAACGGGCACCCGTCGCAGCCTGGCCCACCACAGCTGACGAGGGCATCTGCCGACGTCCTTTCAAAATGCAAGAAGGCCTTATCTGAGCACAACGTCTTGGTTGTAGAAGGTGCGCGCAAGTATGCGTGCAAGATCTGCTGCAAGACGTTTTTGACCTTGACAGACTGCAAGAAGCACATCCGTGTGCACACAGGAGAAAAGCCTTACGCCTGCCTGAAGTGCGGCAAGCGGTTCAGCCAGTCCAGCCACCTGTACAAGCACTCCAAGACAACCTGCCTGAGGTGGCAGAGCAGCAATCTGCCAAGCACTTTGCTCTAACCTTCTCCGCCCCGGGCCTGAAGGAGAATGCCAGTGCAGACGTCTAGCTCCCTGAAGCACCGCAGGAACATGAACACTATTTTCTTCAAGGCTCAGAGGCTGCTCTTGTCGTTCAGTGAACACGTGTGTTTGTGCCACATTGGGGATATTACTGTACCTACCTCACAGGGCTGTTGTGAGGCTTAAACAGCTGTAAGCAAGGAACTTGGAGATCTCAGAAGTCGCACTGTGGGTGTGTGAGGTGTTACTGTGATGTATGTTCAGGCCTTCGGCTGATGGGGATACAATCCCTAAAGCTAAGCAGTTCCTTTGCAGGGCAGAGGGGTGAGACTATAGTTATCTCATGAAGTAGCACGTTTCAAGAATGCAAATTTCCTCTTTTCTTTTTCTAAAGTATTTTGTAAAAGTGAAAGCATTTAAATAAATGACCTATAAACCAAGTTGCTACATTATGTATGGACAGTAATGCAAGAGCTGTTTACTGTAACTAATGCAGATTGCATATCTTTAAAAAAGAAAAACAACTTTGGATGCACCTGTCTGACATAATGCTTTAAAATATGCTAATTATAAAAATAGTTCTAGGGTTATGAGTGTATGTTTGGCTGTTTTGTAGTAAAGGACACTGTGTAATGAAGGTGCTTAAATTAAACCCAAGACAAGTAACTTTTGGACTGCCAGATGTATATATACTTTGAATACAGCAAGATCTGGATGTTTGACTGATTTTTTCTGTAGAAACTTGTATTAAGTGATAAGTGAAGTACTGTTTCTTGTTCGTGCTATTCTTAGCAGTATTTTAACCAATTTGTATCTCCTGTGTTAAAATTCTATATACACAGAAGTCTGAAAAGAGCTTGTCTTTGTCGGCTTTGTTATTTTGAAGGAGAGATAATTTGTGATGGCTTTTTTTACTGTGTGAGATAGTCTCTTGCTGTGTCCAGATGCTGATAGTCACTCTGATTCCCCTTTACTGCGTAAGCATATTGCCCTTTTCTGACACTCTTATCTTCTGGCTTTAATTTCCTCCTCTGTGCACTTACTTTCCTTCACAATTACTGATTGTTGCTCAGATCAAACCAGTCAGGAATGATCCTCATTTTCCATATTTATTTATGTCTCTTTCTATAGAATGTAGTTGTCAAATCCAGTCCTTCCACTGAAAGTAGTGTCATAAATGTACTTTTCCACATAAATTAAAAAAATCTAGCAAAGGTTTAACTTTTAAAAATAGCACTGCACACTTTGTATAGCAGAAATTCAGTGATCATTATTCTTCCAGTGAATCACGTAAATCTTGTTTTAATTTCCTCTTCTTTGATACCATTGTAACTAATGCTGTCTGCAGTCTCTCTTTTTCCTTTGTTAGAGGTGCACATGAACTAACTACTGGCATTCTGCATATTAGGTTTCTAAATAAAATTTTGGAGCACTTCTGCTGATAAATGTTGCTCCACCATACAGGAGCTGAGTCAGGGTCCATTCTGCTTAGGAGAGACGGAGGGTTTGTATTTCCTGGTATCTAAGTCACAGAGCAACATCTTTCCGTTAATACAAAAAAAAAAAACCTTGCAAACCTTCCCTGCTTTATTTTATTCTGTGTGGCACATGTGTCCTGTGTGATGATATTCAGCAGTTTTATGAAGTTTTTGCTACCTAATAGTTAGCCTTTTTAAGCATCTTGAACTAATATTTGGATAAACTGAAAATAAAATCCTAATCCACGGTCCTGTAGGTCATTTAGCAGGATGAACTGTGAAAACTGTTGAAGCACAGAAACCAAACAGTTATTGTCAGACCAAAGGAAACATCGAAACCTTTCTGTACTTGGCTTTATGTGAAACAGTAGTCTGCTAATGAAGAAATATGTCTTCGTCTCTGATTATACCAGTTCACATTGAAAAAAAAAAAAAGAAAAAGCCAGATGTCTGTCAGCATGTTGTTTGCACCTTGACCATCCAAACTAAATAGGAACATGGAAACAGTGAATGATTGGATTCATTCCTTTAAAACATTAAGATTTTGTTACAGGAATTATTTAATAGTCATATTTCTGGCTCTTGAATTTTATAAGCATTAAGGAAATGTGCTGCTTTTTATAAAGCACTAGGATATGCCACATTTTGTTTGATAATTTTGATATCAGGGGACTAACAGCATTGAGCTATACTAAACAATCTCACTGAAACGTCAATAAAATGCAGTATTTTGTACTTTAAGATTTTCTTGTGTTGCCTTATTAGTAATGTTCTGGTTGTTTCATCTTCCTTGCATTTCTAGTGGTTTGTTTTAAAAATAGGATGGTTTTACATTTTCTATCTGTTTCCTAAAGCACATCTGAATTTTTTTAATTCTTATGATGCATAGGAATAAAGCATCTATGTGAGTAAGGAGATTAGAGTAATTAAGAACTAATATGAGCAGATAAACATATTTAACTGTACTTTTGATCTGTTTTTATAAAAGTTTTAATGCTACTGTGAAATATCAGGCCTTGTGCAGGAGGACTTCTATCTTTCTTTAAGAAAAAATTCAACTTGGAGCATTTTTGAAAGTAGCAACTTTTACATTTCATTATTGATTGACAACTAGTGCATCTGGAGGAGCACACTGCAAACACAGGAGCCTGTGGCTGGCTTGTTGCTTTTGTAGTCTTCCAGTATGAAGCAATATCTCAGAATGGTATCTCTACTTCGCTATCACCTACTGTAAAATGAGAATATCTCATCTCAAAGCCTGGTAACACTGTCAGAGAGCTTATCACCCTGATTTTTGTTTAAAATTTAACTTTACAGATGCTATGGTGAGATCTCATGTGAAGATGTCAGTATGTTAGTATTACAGAACATATGAAAATAAACCCTACATTTTTGTGCTGTTGTGTCTGACTTGATCTGCTTGTTTATCTTATCCTGGTGTCTTTGCCAACAGCATATAATGGATTGACTAAACAAGTAACACTGGTGTGTTAGCTGATTGGGCTCTTTGAGTTACTAGGTCACTTGGCAGTGGGAAATAATCCCGTTGAAGTGTCGGCACACACGTAAGCATTTTTGTCAAATGAGTCCAAGCGCATAGTGCTGCCCCTGGCTGGCCTTGGGCTTCATGCTTGAGGCTTTGCCACTTTTGAGAGGACTTGTAATACCTCATCAACACGAAGCGGATCCGTACAGGAGCCAGTATAAAGTCCTGAAGGACCGTGTTGTCCCACCAGCGCAGTGTGAGCTGGTCTGAGCCAGCAGCGCGCGGCTGGGCTTCCCGGCAGGGGCTTTGGTCAGGCTTGGGGGGGTAGTGTCTTGTGGACTCGCTGCCTCAGCACGGAGGGCTGTCTTCTGGCTAGCTCTCTGCTCTGGAGGTGACATTAGAGATGTTTCATGCAGATCACTCCAGATGCCCTGTGGCTGGATGACCTTCTTGCAGGGATTGTGCTTCTGCCCGCGGGCGTGTTGCCTGCATCTCCCTCATCAGGCGAAGTCTGGAAAGCCTTGGGATTCTGGGAGCATTCCCACTTGTGCATGAAAATTATTTTCATGACATTCTTTCCAGCTGTATCAGTTCCCTGATGAGTTCACTGCAGCTGCACAGGTGCTTGTGCTGGCAAGGGAGCAAGGATGAGTGGCTGGGTGTTGCTGCGATTATTTTTGGTAGCAACATCTGAATGCCCATCAGTGACCTTCCAGGTCTGCAGCACAAGGCAACTAACAAAGGCTGGTTTGGTGACTCGGTTAATGAAATGTTTTAGTGCTGATGAGACTAAATTGCATGACATGGTAGCATAATTCATGTCTTGAATAGACATTGCGGTAGCTGAATAGGTTTTTGAAAAGGCATAAAAGCGGCTGTCTGTAATTCAAATTATATATTGTGCGCTCTTAATTTTTCTTAATACATGAAAATAAGTCTGGAACTTCCTCTAAATGGGAATGACTCTGAACTGGTGTAAGATGCTTAACTGTGTGTTAACTATATCTGCTTAACTATGTGTTTGTAGGAGCGCATGCTTAGCTGAAGCCTTATCTTCACTTACGCTACGGAATGATTTTGAAGACTTGCTGCTCCTGCCAGAGGGAACAGTCTTGGAAAGACTGCGGCGAAGTTTCCTGTTGGGAGACTTGCTCAGAGGCCAGGCTGCTCGCTCAGTCCTCTGCCAACTGTCTGCAGGCGGCCGCTGCTGGCCACTCGCGTCGGTGACTTCCAGCAGTCAGTCCACGAGCATCTCTTGCTCGTAATTCGACCTTGTAAAACACTACCGAACCAGAGGAATACTGCTGTTCAGGAAGCCCAAGGGAGGGGTCTGTCCCTGGCAATGGTTAAACATCAGCAGGAGCTTCAAGTTTTGCTGCAGCGAATACTCTCGCTTCTGCGGCAGTTCTACCACCCTTCGTGCTTACCTGTTACGTGTTGGGGGCTGACCCTTGCAGCAGCTGGAAAGAGCAAGCGTGACGCTCAGCTCCGCAGGCACCAGCCGCCTGGTCGGGGGCACTGCGTGCCCGTGCCGTGTACCCACGGTGTCCCCGGCTCTTGCTCCTGCCACGGCCGCACGCTGAATGAAGAAATCGCTCTGCTGGTGCCAAGTGCTGCTTCCTCCACAGCAGGATGAGTGTGAGTCTGCCTGTTCGCATCAGCACCCTCAGCCAAATAATAACCACCACAGCAGGCCACTTGAAAGGCACCTGCAAAGTGATTTTAATTCTCTATGCCAGCCTCTAAAGAAATAGCTATTCTTAGTAAAAGATGGTCGTGAAAGCCTGTACTTTACTCAGTAACAATTTTGTTCCTGGTAGAATGTACTCTTTGCAAGATCTTAGTATAATGTTTGTTACTGAAATAATATTAATATCCACGTGACATCTGTAAAATCCACAATCCGTTGTCATCATTGCTCTCCGAATTCTTTGTGGGAAGACGCTGATGCAATGATGGGGAGGCCCAGCACAGCTACTCTGCCCTGGGAGCTGCTGCAGCTCACTGCACTGGCTAGGTTTTCAGCTTTTGGTGGTACAAGGTTTTGACTAGTGACTGTTGGTATGGAGTATGTCCAGAACTTACTGAGGAAGAAATCCTGTTAAGAGGTGTTTTCCCTCGGACAGAGACCTGGCAAGGCTTACCTGTGCTTTGCTGTCAGTCGGTTCAGCTCTGGCCAGCCACACTCAGACTTGCCTGAAAAACTACAGGTTCTTTTAAGCAGGGGCAGAGAGATAAGGTTAACATCATTTGCGGGTTTTGAGGTATTTTTAGAAAGAAAAATCTTTTCAGTAAGGGAATACTGATGATTTCTCTGGCTGGCAGAGCAAAATGATCAACAGCTGCAGAAGGTACTCTTCTCGAAGACATTCCAAGATGCGACACCTGAAATGTGCTTGGGTCCCTTTGGCAACCTTATTTACAAGCTTTTGTCTATTTCTCAGTGTATTTGGGGAATCTAATACAAGTGCTTAGAGACCAGTTCATTTACACTTAATTATTCTCACGTCATTAGGGGCCACAATAACCTCCAATATTTACTCAACATCCTTCAGCATTACAGTAACTTCACCAATACCAGAATCTTTAGTGTCAAAATCCCCAAATCATACAGACCAACAAACTAACCTGCTGGCCTTGTGTTCAGGGTTTTCGTATCAAAGCAAATCCTTCTGATTTGTTATGATGTCAATTGGAAACTTTCCATCTAGTTGAGATGCTCAGCAGCCCACTCCTTTCCTATCAATCACAGCTACAAACCTTTCCTTGGTCAGCAGAGGTCTCGTTAGAAGCTTCCCAAACACTTTCTGCTTCTGATGGGCAGGCATACAGTAATCAGCAAGGCTTGCGAATCAAAACATATTGATAAGCATGTCAGATACTCTCTGAGGCATGAAGCAAATGTCTTCCTTTAACTAGCTAGCATCAATAACTAATTAATGAACATCTTCCAATAGCTATTGCTATCAGAGTATGGTTCATTTAACATCAAGAGAAATACAAGCAGAGAATTCAGCATGAAGACCACTTGCCATGGGACAGAAAGAGAAGTACAGAGTGTACTAGATGAACTTTAATTCCCAAGCACAGGCTGTTCTCTGTGTGTTTCTGCTCCCTCCCTGCACCAGGCTTAAACCACTGCCAGCTGCTTTCCCCAACGTCATCTCTTAAGAAATGTTCTGGAGTATTATTCAGCACCCTGCTCAGCTTTTATATGGGCTGAGAGTTGGAAAAAAGCCTGAACACTGCTGCTCACAGAGGTGCAAACTCAGGCACTTTCTTTTACCCTTGCCAGAAACCTCCCTGTGCTGTACAATAGTGAGCGGTGACTTGAGCAGTTCAGGCACGTTGCGGCCAGTTGCTGTCCTGGGCTTTCCTCCAGAGGCTGTTCTCTGTCCGTCTGTCCGGCTGCAGCACGATGCTTGCTGCCTCCTGGCCCAGCTGCCCAGCTCACACCCCTCGCCTTGTGCCCAGCTCACTGGAAGGAGAGCAGTGAAGCTGTGCTGGGCGCCTTCCGGGGGTGTCTGGCCGGGCTGCATCCTCCTTGCGGGATGAAGCACAGGGGTCTTCCTCCTCCTGGCCCATGGGCACCAAGAGCCCCTACGCAGAGCTCAGCAGAGAGGGGCTGTTGTCAGCGCTGCTGGGAGCACCGCCAGCAAGCTGCTGAGCTGGGAATGAGACGCTTCCCTCTCGCAGTCCCCTCTACCCCTCCCCTTGCGCCATCATTTCAGAAAAGTACTGGTTGTGTGTCCGTCCAGCGGCCGAGGCTTTGCTTTACTTCTCCTCTGTTTTTCAGCATGATTTCTGCCTGCATGGGCAGCTCTCACCAAGCCCGCAGTGTGGTGGGTGCCTTTGGGCCACACGAGGAAGGTTCCTTTCCTCCCGGGGTGCAGGGGCACCAGTTGGGCACATGGCACAGAGGCGCAGAGTTTGTACCAGCTGAAGGTGCCAGGCTGCCCGCAGCACCCAGCACCTTCTCCGGTCACTGTGAGAAGCAGCTGGCTGGCAGGGGGGAGAGGGCTGCCTCTGGTACTCAGACCTTGTCCCCAGTTCATCCCTGTGGGCTGGATGCAAAGAGGTGTCCAGGTTGGTGGGGCTGATGCTGCACCGTCGGGGCAGGACGTGTCCCAGGACAGACACAGCGGGAATGGCCAGGGGTGAGGCAAGGTTGGGTCTGGCGACTGAGCTGCTGGGCAAGGGGAGCTTTGCCCTGCCTTGCTGCTGAAGGGTGATGGTCCCTGGAATTAGGTCAACCTCAGCCCCAAGGTGGAAGTGGGTGTGTTGAGCCCGGGGCATCTGCCTGGCTGCAGCATTGGTGCTGGTGACAGGGGCACAAGTGGGGCCCACGCTGAGCCCTTGCAGAGGTCCAGCCACCCCCACTGCCAGGGCTGAGGTTTGTCGGCAAACCCCTGCAAAGGCGAAGGCACAGAGGGCATGGGACCTGAGCTGATCTCGATGCTAAGGGGCAGGGACCCCTGTACAAACACCCCACTCGGCTAGGTGGGTCAGCTGCTTCTGCCACCGTCCACCCTGGACATCACCGAAGCAGCGCGGGTGCCCTCCTGCGCGAGCCGGGCGGCTGTGGGGAGGTTCACCTGGCTCAGCCCAACGTGGACTGCGAGCAGCAAAACAGCAGCAAAAAGAGCATGGGGGAGAGCAACGGGCTGGAGCTGGCTCCAGCCCATGTGCTCCCTCCGGGCAGCTGGGGACACACAGTGTGGTGACAGTGGAGCATCTGGAGACCACTGACGGGCATCGCGTTTCTACTGCCATCCCACTGTTTATCATAATTGCGTTGCTGTGCTTGTACTGCAATTCCAGTACACTGCTGTACCACCCTGCTAAATCAACATCCAACATAACATCAAATGTCTAGAGAGACATAAATCTGGTATTGAGCCCAAAACCCTTGTGTGGATTATCTAAAGAACCACACATCATACCCGGCTCTGGCAGGCGCTGGGTCGGAACACGGGGTATGAGTGAGGGCACTGGTCAGGAGATTGCACTAGAGCCCGCATAGCTGGAAGCAGGGCGCCCATGCACCGAGCAGAAATCCCAGTGCTTCACCCTGCGGTGACAGCTTTTCAACCTTGTTTCGAGCTGCAAGGCAGCACCTCTAATCATGCTTAATCCCGACTGAAGGTGTCTCCTCCAAAGCCGCAAGCTCCCAGGTTTTTTTTTGCGTGTAGTGCTTTGGAGCACGTGGTGGGTTCCTGTGCCCGTGAGGCCGACAGAACTGCTCCCATCGCCTTTGGAGGAAACATGGAAATGATGCAGTAGCAGCGGGGTGGCCGGCGCAGGCACTCTGCTGCTGGCAGAGCTCGTCGCTGCTCAGCAGCTTCAGCACCTGCCCCTGCTGAATGCACTGCGCACACTTTGTGTTCTGCGTCTGCGGGATGGATGCCCCTGGGGTCAAGCTAAGGGAAATGTTCACTCACTCCCTCCTCCTCTCCATACCTCCCACAGCTTTGGGGACAAGGCTGTCCCCTGTTTCATATCCTATTCTGAATGCTGAAACCTGGGAGAAGTGTGGGAGAGGAGGGTGGGTGATCGAGAGCTGCAACTCACAAGGAACTTGACTCCAGGCCTGCTTTTCACCACGTTCCCCAGCACGAGGACTGGGAGCACACGGAGCTGGAGAGAGGCTGGTTTAAAACTGGCGAGAGCGACCTTCGCACCATGGGGCAAGGGCACCCGTGGGGTGGCTGGGGCGAGCGGCACCCCGTGACCCGCACGAGCAGATCCTCCCTGCAGGGCTGCCCCCGCTGCCACCTGGTCATAGAGGCCAGGAGGGCACGAGGGCCAAGGCTCCCCCACCACCCTGCAGAGGCAGAACATGAAAAGAAGTTAAACTGAACCGGCTTCCTCACCGTAACACAAATTTGCAATTTGCAGATGTGTCCAGCTGTGGCAGTGCTGTCGCTGCAAGGCTGGGCACAGGACAAGTCTCTGGTCGAACTCCAGCAAAGTGACTTGACTATGCTTGTTTAACACACTTCTGCTGTTGATTTCAGAATGCAACAATCCTATACATCACATCTTTGCCTTTTTTTCTGGAAATCCCAGTTGGGTGTTTTCCTTTGCTATGTAGCGACCTTTTCAGAACGGCACCCTGAGCGCTGGCTGCCCAGGAGGATGGGAAAATTGCTGGTCTAGACCATGAACCTGCCACCACAGCTCCCAGCCAGAGAATACTCTTCATGTCCCCCAAAAGGCTCGGTTCCCATCTGAGGAAGAGCAGACCCCTAACCTGGGCTTGCTTGCAGCAGACTGGAAAAGGCTGCAGCAGCTGCAGGGCACACCGAGGAAAGCTGCCCCACTCAAGCAAGCTCCCAAGGGGAAGCGGGGTAACACTGGGAAAGGGGCTCGCTCACTCCTTACTCTTGGGAAGAAAAGTTTGCAAGCCCACAGCCAAGCCCCCGATGAAGAAAGCGAGGAACAAGCTGCTCCTGTCCTCAAGAGCACGGCGGGATGCTGCAGGGCTGTGCACTCACCGTGCAGGATCCTGCTGCAGGCGCCTTATGGGCATGCCCCCTACAAAACTGGAAAATGTCCCCCTGGGCCCTTTCCACCCTTGCAGCAGGACAGTGCTTGGGGATCACACTCAACATAAACGCATTCAAAGCAGGATTTCTGACCTGCTTTAAATGTGTTTGTTAAATTCCCCCTGCCACTGCACTGCAATGTCACAGCCACCTTTCTCCTTTCCCTAAGGGAACGAGGCAGTTGGGGCGCGCTGCCCTCGAGCAGGGCAGGGTAAGCAGCACGCAGGGGCAGTCTGAGGAGCACGCCTCGCCGATCGTTTCACCACCTGGGACAGAAGCTTGCTGGGGAGGACTGGCAGGGAGAGACAGGTTCCAACCCCCACAGACAGGAGTGGGATGGTTGCTGCAGGAGGCAGAACCCCCCAAACCCCTGAAACACTCGCATCCAGGCCTCTCCTGGCAGCTGGAGGCTTGGCACCCGCTCGGGTTTTTCTTTGCACCAACATGTGCAACTGGTGTGTGTCTGGGAAAAAAAAAAGAAGTGGGGAGGGGAGCTGGGGCTGGACCTAGTGGGGAGGCCACAGAACCTCCTGGCGCGAATTCCAGTTTGCAATTCACTGCAGCGTCATGCTCAGAACTGGTTACAGACGCAAAAGGCAGCACTGGAGACGCCAGCGGAGCCAAGCAAGCCTTTTTTGCTTTTCTTTAGGCACCCGGAGCACAGAAACGCCATGCCTTGGCCCCAGTGTAACAGGACCTTTTAGCGCATGCATGGCAGTGGGCTGGCTCCCCTGGCAGCAGCGCCTGTGCCGACCGACCAACTGCCTCTGCTCCCGTCCTGGCTGCGAGCTGGGAGCTCGAGCAGGGAAGTGCCTGCCCCCCACCGCAGCCCCAGGTGCCCAGGACAGGAGCTGCAGCACCTGCAGCCCCCGCGGCGTGGTGTTCTCACACGGAACCAGCACGACACGTTCACTGCTCCTCTTTAATGGCTGGGGAGCGGCTCCCTCACCGCTGGCACGCGGCCGCAGGGGCGAGGAGGCACAGGGCCGGCCTGCGAGGCTTCTCCCGGGGACGGCGGGGCTCCGGCCGTCACAGCAGCAGCTCGTGGGGCATGGGCTCCCCTCGCAGCCCGGCCAGCAGGTTGTTGGCCGCCAGCACCGCCATCGTGTTCCTCGTGGCGTAGGTGGCACTCCCGACGTGCGGCAGAATCACTGGAAGGGAACAGGGAGGGTTACGTGCTCGTTTCCTACCGCCGCTGACCTCCTGCAGCCTCTTTCAGGGGCAGCCTGGGTCCGGCACCAGCCACTGCTCCAGCAGGAGCTGACACCAGACGTGGAGCGTGAAACAAAATCCACGGGGGACTGGGAAAGACACCTCATGAATGGCCAACTGAGCTATTTTTCAAGTCCTGGAGGCCTCAGACAGTCAGCCAAGAGTGGGTCCTCCTTTCTGCACTCAGCTCGGCACTCCCTTTCTCGCACGGAATCAGATAGATGTAAAATACCACTTCTGCGGCAGACAAACATGCAGTGAAATTTGCACACTGTTGCCTGACTGCCACACGGGTTTAGGAGGTTCTGCTCACTGACAGGCGTGAACCAACACCTATCAGGGTAACAGCCCGAAGACTCCTGTGAAACATCATGGTTTACAGACCCTCGGTTCACTGGAAAGGCACACGTGGAGGCAAATGGCCCCCGCCGAACAGAGCTGGCACACCAGCACAGTCAGGGCAGGGATTTTTGTGCACCTATGTGAAAAGGCTCCTTTTACACAATGCAAAGGAAGAAGCCAAAGCTGCTTTAGTGATAAATTATTCTAACATTCGTAGTGGAGAGTACTTGCTCGAGGTATGGACAAAAGCCTGCACTACAGTCTCTCTTTGTTTTATAACAGAGAGCACCTACAGGCAATGCAGAACCCAAACAGCCAACCCGCCGCTGTCCTGGGGGGAGAAGGCTCTCACAGGGAGGACTGTGAGGCCACGTAGGTCCTGTCTCCCCCAGTTAAGAACCAGCCTGGGTTCCTTGTTCATTGTGAAAGTAATGCCAACACTTCCTCCTCCTCTACTTATACAGTGTTCCTCCAGCTGCTGAAATAATTTGGCAGTTTGTGGTGAAATCCGTGAATATTTTCAGAATCATCAAAGCCTCATTCCTGTGAAAATAAATGTATTATGTATTTGGTTTTTCCTTGCTTGGTGGCGTTCCAGAGCTCTAAGATCTCTAAAGTCCTGCAAATATTTCCAGAAAGTCTCTGCTTTTATCATTTCTCACACTGCCTACTACAGGAACCAAAGCGAACAAATGAAAAATAGTTTTTAGCAACAAGATAATCAACGCTACAGCTGTTCACTTGTATTTCAGAAATGGACGCTCCGTCGTGGGTACGTTTTCATGGATGTCTCCATGGTTTCTTTTCAAAACAGGCTTTTCCTACTCCCAAAACCCCCTTCTTGGAGAGAGGGCATCCTGCTACCACCTGCCCAGACACACCGGTACTCTGCCCAGGCAGGTGACGGTGCACACAGCAGATCTGGTGCTTGGGGGGCAGCCCGAGCAGCCCCGGCACGCGATGATGTGTAGGGAAGCTGCCCTCGCCCCGCTGCTGACACTGGCTCCCAGCGGGGCCGGCCACCCCGGCGAAGCCGAGCACTCGGGTAGGAACAGGCACCCCGCCACTGCACCACTGACAGGGTCGCAGACAATCGCAGAGGTTTATGTTCTAACTAGAAAGCTGTGCCTTCTCCATGTCTCTTCTGTCTTTCTGCCTTGAGGGATGCAAGTGAGCCTGTCTGGCTTGGGTCTGAGCAAGTCCGGCTCAGTAACTGTCCAGACCCATACACTGCCAGCCTGGAGGAGGAGAGGAAAGCTCCTGGCCCTGCTCTAACGGGGACGGGCCAAGTTACTCAGTGAAGGCCACTGGAGGGAGGGCAGCGAACACGCCAGGAGCTGCCCCTAACTCATCCCAGGCTGCTGGGCAGCCTGTGGTGCCTGCGAGGATGGAGCTGCACCGGTGCGCGGCCGGGCCATGGGAGACAGCCCCCGACACAGCCCCTTCGGTCTGCAACAGCGGGGATCCCAGGCAACACCGGGGGCTGCTAACGCCTTGCTCTGAAACACCGTCCTGCCGCACGTGGCAGCTCTCAGCAAGCTTCTGGGAAAGCACCAGTAAAGCCAAGAGTGACCAGCTCCCGCCCCTGCTTGCAGGCGCTGCTGCCTCCACGCCAGCAGCCAGGCAGTGCTGAAGCACCAGAGCAGCCCAGCAAGCCTTCTCCTAACTGGCCCAGTGCCCGTTACTTTCCATAAAACGGACTGCCTGAGCTCATCAGGCTCCGCTTTCCCAGTGGAAGTTGCCTTGGGCTGTCCACGGGATGCCACTAAACCATCCTGCAAAGAAACCTCTGCTCACCCCGTGGAGTGAGCTCTTGCTAGGCTCTTCAGCTCGGGGCTGTCCAGCTTGCTGACATCTGCTGGGGAACGTGGAGGTCAGGACAAGGCCGGATGAACCGTGATGAAATGTGCTTCCAAGCACACATGCTGAACCTGCGCTGGCAGCCCAGCAGATGGGCTAGCTGGCAAGTCCTGCAGCGGCCGCAGCTCTCCTGAGGCCGAGATTCCTCCAGGCAGACTCAGCACACAGCTTTTTAGCCACATGGGAAGCTTTTCTGGCAGAATATACACCCAAGAGCTTACAGAACACCACAGGGCACAAGCAAGGATTTAGTTTCTCGTTCAGGCACCTGCCGGTATCTGACTCCTCCATGAATTTCACCCCATGCCTCGGCCATCAAATGGAGACCCATCAGGAAGGTGTTAAAAAATGAGCCAATCTCAACTGCCTTCTGGAGAATACCTCCCACACCTGTTTTGCATTGCGCTGATGAGGTCTATCCCCTCCGGCAGCTCCTCGCATTTACCTACAGCCTGCTTAAATACGCTCGAGCTTACTGTCCTCCCACGTCCCAGGGGCTGTTTGCCCCAGCGGGCTCGCGGCCGCCCCGCTGGGTGCTTACCGCAGTTCGGGAGGGAGAGCAGGGGGTGGTCGGTGGGCAGCGGCTCCGGCGTCGTGACGTCCAGGCCTGCCGCTGCGATCCGGCCGCGGGCCAGCGCGTCGTACAGGTCCTCCTGGTTCACCACAGCCCCCCTGCCAAACACAGCGGGAGAGGAGGGCTGCGCCGCTGCTGAAGGGGTCCCCCGGGGCTCCCAGGGGGGTGCACGCCCCGGGGACCGGCCATGGGGGGAGCAGCCTGGGCGCTGGCACCGGGAGGTGTGGACGTCAGACCCTCCCTGGATGTGCCCGAACCTCCCTGGGGCAAGGAGCTGCTCCCGCTCCCGCCCCAGCAGTGGGGAAGCGCCGGGTGCCCGAGCGCAGGATGTCCCGGGGGCAGCGAGGAGGGAGGCACGGGCAGCCCCAGGCTGCTCCCCGGGCCGGATGGGTCCTCACCCCCCATGCAGGAGGCTGGGTTGCGATTACCTGCTCGTGTTGACAAACACGGAGGTCTTCTTCATTCTGCTGAAGAAGTCCTTGTTGCACATTCCCTGGGTGGCTGGAGTCAAAGCACACGTCACCACAACGAAGTCCGACTCCTCGGCCAGCCTCATGACTGGGACTGAGAAAAGACAGACAGGTCACAGCTCTGCTCGGGGACCTCGCCAGCACACCCCAGCAACCCTCATCCGTGAGGCGTGCCGCCAAGCGAGTGCTGCTCTGGAGACACCTGGCCGACTCTTCTCCACGGAAGGGGAGACACAAGGACCAGCAAACACTCAGCAGAAACCACACACTACAGATACAGATGCTTCTGCAGTGTTTTGTTTCACTTTGAATTAAAATCAAGCACACCGGGAACCCAGCGACGCTTCAGCCATCTGGCCCAAGGAAGGCTCTGGTATGCATTTAATACAGCAAAATATGGCAGCAGCAGTCTATACCACCATTAAATCTCTCTACAAATGGCACCTACAGATATAACTTGTGCCACTTTCACTCCTGGAGGTGAAAGTACAAGGAGCAGGACAAGTTCTGCCAATGACTTTGTGTAAAAAAGCACCAACTGGAATCGTGCTGGCTTCAGGGTGAAAAATTAGCCCTTGATGCAAAGCTTGGGGCTCTAACAAGGTCACAGAAAAGTCCTGTTCAGCAGCTAAGACACATTCGCAGGCTTGGCTGGACTGTGACATGCAGTTTAAAGCAGGAGGTTAAAGCTGATGTTCGTTTCCAGCAACCACCATCTACTCTCAGGGAAGATTGGCAGTCAGCCTCAGCCCACACCCTTCTCCTTGCACGACCCCTCGGTGCCCATCCCATGGGGGACGGTCCACAAGACCCTTCCCCTCCTCCCAGGGGCAGCTGCCATTCTCCCCTCCCCATCTGTTAAGTTTCACTTCCTCCTGGGAATGAAAATGAGCTGGAAATCACAAAGGGACGGTCACAGGGAAGAGGAAAGGCAGAAGCAGCGATGGCCACAGTGATGGTGGGTGGTCAGTGAGAGCTCAGGTGTGCCCAGCTGCCCGGCCAGAGCTGCCCGGCTCGAAGGAGGCAGGTTTCCCTCCCTGCCACCCTCCACTGCTGCACGGGAAATGTTTGGGATTTGCCATTCCCTCCGTCCCTGCTGCCCTGCAAAGGACAACTGACTGCCCGCCGTGCCCAGCGCCCTCCTTACCAAACTCGGCCTCAAACTCCGCAGCCACCTCTGGCTTCGGGCGACTGCCAGCGTACAAAAACTTCTTGACCCCGAATGGCTTTAGGCGGCGGGCAACAGCCTGTCCTAGGAGCAAGAGGGAAGACTATCCGGCCGCTGTGCCAGCGCCTGCCTGAGGCGTGTGGCACCGCGACCGGCCGTGGGGGTCCGTCCTGGGGCAAGCTCGCACACGGTGTCCCGCGGAGCACACCCTGCACGAAGGGTCACGGCGGTGGGATCGCTCCCGCCAGGCAGCTTCCGAGCCCACGGTGTGGTGGGCACGGGCCGGGGGGGTGGGTGTCTTCTGCTCCGCACGCCAGTGGGAGAGAGCTCCTCGCCAGAGTGAAACTGCAGCTGTGGGACGTTGAACTTGCAGCTACCCCAGGGAGCGAACTGGAAAGCGAGGGAAGAAACAGCCATCTGCTGGCAAAGTCCATCACGGAACAGATGGCGGGCACGTCATCTTGGACTTTGTCAGGGGGCATTTGTTTAACTGAAAATCACGAGGACTATGTCCAGTTTGCTGCAGCGTTCAGACGTAGTGGATGCGTTTGAATGCTTTCAACTTTTAAGCATTTCCCGATGAGTCAAGATCGCTGCTCAGAGTGGCTCTACACAGCTCTCCTTGTTCTCACAGATTTTAAAACGGTGAGCGCTGGGGACACCACCTTGGCTGAAACTCCCAAACCACCCTGAACCTCCCAAACCACCCTGCCATCACTGGATGCACAGAAATCTTCCGCCTGACCTGCACTTACCTATTCTCCCCAGACCTATGATGCCCACCGTACTATCAGACAGACCGTAGCCACACATCCATAAGGGCTTCCATGTTGTCCAGCCACCACTAGCAGAGAGAGCGAGACAGAAACAGATGCCAGATGGCAACGGAGGAGAGCCTGCTGGTAGCCCAGTCCAGCATTGGGCCCAGTACACCAGTGAGCACACCGGGCTGCTCTGGCAGACGATGTCACAGCCCAGGTTCCTGCCTCCTCCTGCAGGGACCAGCTCAGACCTCGGGTGCACAGCAGCAGCCGCCCTGGGGCTGATTTAATTCAGAGACTGCTGACCACAGCCCTAGAACAACTGCCTGTCAGTGAGCTCTGGCCAGACCCCCGCCGTGCGGTGTGCTCCTTGAGGGGTCCACAGTGGCCTTGGGGGGCCTCCCCCGAGCATATCGAGGGGAGTTCTGCCCCTCTCACAGCCCCTGAGCAGCGTGCCTCGAGTCAGGGAACTCCACCTTGGCCTGCAAGGTGCCCCGGCCAGGTGAAGCTCTGGCTTCAGCTCCGTTCCACACGTCCAGGGCAGCTCTGGACCCGGGCACTGGCAGGCCCAGAAGCCAGCCCTCGCTGCCGCTGCCGATACTCACTTCTTCACCTGCTCCACCGCCTCCGGCAGCCGTCGGCACGCAGCCAGGAGTAAAGCGACGGAAAGCTCCGCGGTGGCATCGGTCAGGACATCGGGTGTGTACCCCACGCGGATCCCCCTGCAAAGCGAGCACGGCTCTCTGGGGCAACGCGGCCAGCTTTGGGCTCCCACCTCAAAACTTCTGGGTGAGACGCCGACGCTACGCCTCTGCTGGGGACGCCCGCAGTTCCACGGGCCAGAGGACACCCGCTCCAGCTCCCCAAGCCTTCCTCCGCGGAAGGAGGGCTGGGGGGGCTATCCTAGCCACGCCGTCGCCCCCGGAGGGGTCCGCAGCTGCGCCGGGGGTGACCCCGGCTGTGCGGTTGCAGGAGCGGGGTGCAGGTCGCACCGCCCGGCCAGCCCCTCTGGCAGCGCGGCCCCCCCGAGCGCGGCGAGCCCCGGGCTCGCAGCTCCGCGCCGTTACCGCTTCTTGATTTCCTCCAGGGCGAGGTGGTCGAACCCCACGGACATGGTGCTGATGACTTTCAGGCCGGGCCCTGCAAGACAGCACCAGCACGCCGCTTGCCCGGCGTCCGCCCCGGGGGGGGGGGGTCCCGGGGGATGCAGGGAGGGTCCCGGGGCCGCAGCCCGCACCCACCCGCGGCCTCCAGCACCTCGCGGTCGATGCGGTCGGAGAGGAGGCAGAGGAGGCCGCGCTTCCCCGCCACCCCCGCCAGCAGCTCGGACCGCGGCACCGGCTCCTCCGAGTCCCACTGCTGGACGCGGCACCTGAGGCGGCAGCGCGGCGGGTCAGGGGCGCGGAGCGGGGGCGGAGCGGGACCGGAGCGGCTCCGGAGCGGGACCGGAGCGGCCCCGGAGCGGCCCCGGAGCGGCCCCGGCCCCCCGCTCACCCGCCGGCCTGCGACAGGACCCGCAGCCCCTCGGCCGGGATCCGCCGCGTCACGAACACCGCCATGGCCGCGCCGAGCCCCGCCCCGCCGCCGCGCCACGCCCACCCGCCGCCGCGCCCCGCCCCCGGCGCGCCCCGCCCCGCGCTGCTGCGCCCCCGCGCCGCGCGCGCCTGCAGCCCCTGGCAGCGCCGCCGCGCAACCGGCGGGTGCAGCCGCGCTGCTCGGCCGTGTGCAGCGTGCAGCTGTGTGTGTGCAGCGTGCAGCTGTGTGTGTGCAGCGTGCAGCTGTGTGCAGCGTGCAGCTGTGTGCAGCGTGCAGCTGTGTGTGTGCAGCGTGCAGCTGTGTGCAGCGTGCAGCTGTGTGTGTGCAGCGTGCAGCTGTGTGCAGCGTGCAGCTGTGTGCAGCGTGCAGCTGTGTGTGTGCAGCGTGCAGCTGTGTGTGTGCAGCGTGCAGCTGTGTGCAGCGTGCAGCTGTGTGTGTGCAGCGTGCAGCTGTGTGTGTGCAGCGTGCAGCTGTGTGCAGCGTGCAGCTGTGTGTGTGCAGCGTGCAGCTGTGTGCAGCGTGCAGCTGTGTGCAGCGTGCAGCTGTGTGTGTGCAGCGTGCAGCTGTGTGTGTGCAGCGTGCAGCTGTGTGCAGCGTGCAGCTGTGTGTGTGCAGCGTGCAGCTGTGTGTGTGCAGCGTGCAGCTGTGTGCAGCGTGCAGCTGTGTGTGTGCAGCGTGCAGCTGTGTGCAGCGTGCAGCTGTGCTTCAGCTGGGGCTCCAGTGTTCCTGCAGCAAGAGCCGAAGCGGTCAGATAACCGAGCGCAGCATGGAGCGTGCTGCAACCCCTGGAGTCGAAAGTTCAAGACTGAGGAAGACACCAAGCCTTCCTCCTGAGACCCCCGAAAAGACCCCCCAAACCAGGCTGCTCAGACCTGGAGGGGGAGGATCTGATGTTAACGACTCCCCTGAAATAATAAAATATGTAAGAGGTTTCTGAGAAAATTGATGAATGTGTAGTTGGTAAGGACTATAAATACCGGAGACAAACCACGGCTGAGTGTGCCTAGTGGAATCCCCGCCTTCCCTATGTGCCTGGTGCCATAATAAAGGGCTTTGCTTCGCTAAAATTCGTCTCCCGACTGTTTCTGAGCCGTTTTCCGCAGTACCCATGTTGCCTGCTCTTCCTCAGGATTAAGGCGTGCAAGCAGGCTGCGGGTGAAGCAGCAGCTTGTGCTGACAACAGATGGTAAATGAGCACGATGTTTCAGGTGTGGGTTTCCTCTTGCAGAGAGCTTTGCTGTGCCCACCGAGAACAGCAGCCCCCCCTTTGCCGTGGAGGCTGGCTGGTTTGGAGGCCTGGGTGGGAGCCGAAACTCCGCAGCACCCCACCACCTCCGCCTCAGAGGAACCCCCCTGGCAGCACTGCGGCTCCAGGCAGCACTCAATGTGTGGGTGACGGGACCGCTGAGCCAGGAAGAGCCAGCACCATCTCTGCCCTGTGCCAAGTCCTGCGGGGGCTGCTGGTGGGTGTCCCTCAAAGAACCCACCCCACGGGTGAGCCCCCCACCCCCTGACTCACACAGGACTGGTGTCCCCAGCCCTGGCACTGGCCGCAGGAGGTAAGGCTCCCAGGCTTTTGGGGTGCTGGATCAGCGCCCTGGGGATGTGTGGGTCTGTGGGTACCTGGACCACAGGTGGGCATCTTGTGGGAGCAGCAGCCTGGCTGGGACGCTGATGGGGAACATGTAAATACCATAGAATCACAGAATCATAGAATGGTTTGGGTTGGGAGGGCCCTCAAAGCCCCCCCAGTGGCACCCCCTGCCCCGGGCAGGGCCTCCTTCCCCCAGCCCAGGGGGCTCCCAGCCCCGTCCAACCTGGCCTTGAACCCTTCCAGGGAGGGGGCAGCCACAGCTGCTCTGGGCACCCTGGGCCAGCGCCTCCCCCCCCGCACAGGGAACAATTTCTGCCTCAGATCTCACCTAAATCTGCCCTCTGTCAGCTTAAACCCGTCACCCCTCATTCTATCCCCACACCCCCTGACCCAGAGTCCCCCCCCCTCCTCTCCTGTCCCCCCTTTAAGCCCTGGGAGGCCACTCTCAGGGTCCCCCCGCAGCCTTCTCTTCTCCAGGCTGAACCCCCCCAACTCTCTCAGCCCGGCCCCCCAGGGGAGCTGCTCCAGCCCCCCCAGCATCTCCGTGGCCTCCTCTGGCCCCGCTCGAGCAGCTCCGTGTCCTTCTGCTGTTGGGGGCCCCCGAGCTGGCCCCAGCACTGCAGGGGGGTCTCCCCAGAGCGGAGCAGAGGGGGACAATCCCCTCCCTGGCCCTGCTGCCCCCCCTGCTCTGGCTGCAGCCCAGGGCACGGGTGGGTTCTGGGCTGCCAGCGCACGGGGCTGCCTCACGGGCAGTTTTCCCCCCCCCAGCACCCCCAGCCCCTCTCCTCGGGGCTGCTCTCCAGCCGCTCCTCGAGGGCCCAGCCTGGGTCTGTGCTGGGGATCGCCCCGACCCACAGGCAGGACCTTGCCCTTGGCCTTGTTGAACCCCAGGAGGCTTCCATGGCGCCCCCTCTCCAGCCTGCCCAGGTCCATCCGGATGCCATCCCTGCCCTCCCACTTGTTCCCTACCACATAGCTCAGCATCATCAGGGAACTTGCTGAGGGTGCATCGGTCCCACTGTCTGTGTCACCAACAAAGATTTTAACCAGTGCCAGGCCCAGCCCCAACCCCTGAGGAACACCACTTGTCCCCCTTGTACATCGAGCCATTGACTGCAACGATGAGTGCGACCATCCAGCCAATTCCTTATCCACCGAGGGCTCCATCCATCAAATCCATGTCTCTCCAATTTAGAGACAAGGATGTTGTGTGAGACAGTGTCAGATGCTTTGCACAGGCCCAGGTAGATGATGTCAGTTCCTCTTCCCTTATCCACCAGCGCTGTAACGCTCTCATAGAAGGCCACCAAATTTGCTGGGCACAGTTTGCCCTTAGTGAAGCCATGTCCCCTCTCTCATCCCCAGCCAAGCCTGCTTAGGATGAGAGAGGGGAAGGGTGGATTGCATCATGGAGTGGGAGATGTGACCTTTCCACAGGCCTTTTGGAGATTAGTAGCTCCACTGGTCTTGGTGTGGAGCTTGCAGACCCCAAGCGATGGAGTACTGGTGGAAGGCAGAGGATGGATGTTACAGCTTGCAGGCGTCTGCATTCAGAGCACGCCTGCCTGCCTGGTCTGCTCCTGCAAGCCGGCAGGGGACTGAAATTTACAGCAGTCCTGCAGAGCTTTTAAAAGAATTTTTTAAACCTAAGATGATGTTTTAATAAAATCTGGCTGGATTCTTACAGGTGTCAATGCGCTGGTGGCTCGGAAAAGCAGAGGAGGCAAATGGAAGGACAGACAGAACAAACTGTTTGGGCGCATCCCTCTGTCAGTCAGTCGCACGTGTGTGTGTGGTTACCAGTACACATACCAATGTGGAGGGACAAGCATCCCTTGGTTCCAAGGGGAACCCTGGTGGAGACAAGGTACACATTCGTGCACACACTTAAATCGATATATTTGCATACATTTATTTGAGTTTCTTTTGGCATTTTTTCAAATTCATTGCAACGTCGGCATATTATCCTGGTGTCCTCTCCAAAACTGGAGGAGGGGCTACTACCAAATATTGCAAACTATGACACTGAACTCTCTCCACCACCACAGTGATAATTTCATACCTTTGTACAACAAGTACTGCTGGAAAGCTATAATGTGTAATGTCATATAATTCCATCACCAATCAGCCAAGGGCCTGGTAGTCTAAGTAAGCAAGGTAGAGCAGGAACTACATCAACCAGCTTTTAGACATGGCTTTGTGCCAGTGTCATTAAAGTTGTGTTGGTGATGACCTATACCACTTTTGCTGGGAGGTGGTGGGTTTCTGGACCAGCATACAGGATGACAGGTACTACCAGATTCTGTTTTGCTGTGGTGACCCAACCTGGTCCCTGACCAGAACTGTTTTCTGAACTCTGATCTCTTTCAATTTTATCTCCTGAGGCATCATTTAAAGACTTTTCTCTCTGCTGGGCGAGGAGGCACCAAGGAGCCACGATGATACACCCTACTGGGACCCGACCCGTAACTCTAAGCAGCGCACACCTGCTCCAAAGCAAGAGTGAGAACGTGCCAGCCAAGAGGAACAAGTCACTCAGCTTGCAGCTCCAGGAACAGCATTCATCTCCTAAAGGTCCCCCTGTTCAGCTACTGGACGAGATGCTACAGAGCAGCCCCCATAGCAAGGGTCTGGGCTAAGCTGGTTGCCTAAGCTTCGTTGATGGGGAAGAATTGCCACCCCTAGCCAGCAATTGATACTACAGGTATTAGGTGGTGTTTTAGGATGAGAGTCTCCACCTCAGAGCCTCCAGCAACTACTTTGGGAGGTTTCCAAAGGCCAGAGATAGGCAGAATAAAGCCTCTCCCAGTGCTAAAGAGACTTTGCTTGTTAATAGCCAGATTTAAACGTGCTGGAGACCTGATCTGAATCTGCTTTATGACCACATAATGAACACAGATAGGTATAGGAGTGGCAGGGGCGTGGAGGGGAACCAAAAGAAGACATGAGCTTGTGTAGGAAAGTGGCGTAGAACAAGTGCTTCAGCTCTGGGAATGAGTACAGAGTCATACCGGTAAAGGAAACACATCTGTGGACAGAGGGAAAGTGGTGTTTAAAGTCCCAGAATATCTATCTGGCATTCCTTCTGCTGCTCCACAGCGGGTGCTCCGTAGGCTTGTGCCACGTGAGAGATGGGGATGGCTTTCAGCACATCCCCGCAGGTTTTGGGTTTGGAAAGAGGATGATCTGCAGGCAGAGGGTCAGGCCCTGTGACTTCATCCAGCAGCTGTGATGTGACCATGGGGCAGAGCCTGGCGGGGTCACCTCGGCTCACTGCACCAGCCCTGCTGGGAAAACAAACGGTCTATCCGCTACCAGGCTTCTTCCTTGACTTTGCCCTGGGAGATAAGAGCCCTTGTTATCTGATGGGAGCTTTAACAAGAGGGCTGGAGAGAGGCGGAGTGCACAGCCATCTGATCTTAATGGGAGTTTTACAGTAAACTCGGATGCCAGGGACTTACAGT